CACTGGGCCCCTTTTCTAAAGGGAGACTCAATCTGGATGCAGTCAGGAAATGCCACTACAGTAGCATATATCAACCATCAAGGGAGGCACGAGGTGCCTGCTGCCATTGAAGAAGCAAACCAGATTCTCCCATGGACACAAACTTACTGTCCAGTGATTCCTGTGGTCCACATCACAGGAGTGGACAATTGGAAGGTGTATTATCTCAGCCATCACCACTTAGACCAAAGGGAAGAGTCTCTTCATCCAGATGTGTTCAATTTGATATTCCAAAGATGGGGCATTCCAGATGTGGACATCCTAGCCTCCAGATTGAGCAATAAGCATCATCTGTTTATTACCAGAACAAAGGATCCTCTAGCCCTGGCCTTGGATACCCTAATAATCCTCAGGTCTCAGTTCAGGTTAATATATGGCTTCTGCCTCACTGAATCCACAAAATAAAGCAAGAGAGAAAAGTGATGTTTCTAATTGCACCAAACTGGTACAGAAGAACCTGGAACACAGACATACTCAGACTTCTACCAGACAATCCCTGGCCCCTTCCCAACAGGCTCGATCTGCTATCTCAAGGTCCTCTATTCCATGCTGTTTCTCAGTCTCATTTCATTTCAGGTACTTATATAGCGCCATCAATTTACGCAGCACTTTACATTTATTGTACATTCACATCAGTCCCTATCCCCCAAGGGGCGTACAATCTAAGGTGCAGTCTCGGCCTTTAATAGCATGGCTAGAAAAGCCGCTTCCAGGAAGATCTATTATTGTACCTGGAAATATTATTTTGCCTGGTGTGAATGCAGTCAATTCAGTCTCAGAGAGTTCTCTATGTCTTAAATTCTGGCCTTCCTGCAAACAGATCTTGACCAAAATTTAGCTCTAAGCATCCTTAAAGGGCAAGTATTGTCCTTAGTCATCTTTTTTTTTCAAAGGCCTCTGGCTTCACACTCCCTTGTAAAAGCCCATAATAGGCCCCCCTTGCAGCACCTTGTGTTCCATGGAATCTTAGTTTGGTTCTCTCTGCCTTGCAGAAACCACCCTTTGAACCTATCAAAGATATGCCGCTATAGATTCTTGCCAACAACGTAGCCTTTTTGGTAGCTATCATGTCTGTCAGACATGTTTCTGAACTGGAGGCCCCTTTCTGTAAAGAGCCTTTACGCATACTTCATAACAACAGGGTTGTTTTACACCCAAGACCATCCTTTCTTCCTAAGGTGGTTTCGGTATTCCAACTCAGTAAGGACATTTTCCTACCATTCTTTTGCCCTGCTTACAAGCATCCAAAGAAACTGACTCTACCTTGCCTGAACATAGAGTATACCTCAAAGCTGCTAATTCTATTAGAAAAACAGATTCCCTTTTTTTTCTCTCTTTGGGACCTTGCAAGAGGCACACTGCTTCAAAATCCACCATTGCACAGTGGGTAAGGAACTTGATTGCAAGAGCTTACTCTCCCAAGCAAAAACCTCCTTGTGTGCTTTTACATGCCCATTCCGCCAGATTGGTGGGAGCTCCTTGGGCATTTTGGTACCAAGCCTCTGTAGCTCAACTGTGTAAGGCCACCACCTAGTCTTCTGTCTATACTTTCTCAAAGTTTTACAGGTGGATGCCCAGTCTTCTGCAGATGCAGCTTTTGGCTGCATGGTTCTAGCAGTAGCACTTTAACCTTGGGTCTTTTTGGCTCCTGTTGTTTGGGCAGGTTGGCACAGTTCTGTTTTCCCAGCTGTTGCCCAACCTTCATATTCATTGGGGACTTCCCATGTATGATTATGTTGTCTGTGTCCTGTTCTGTTTGATCAAGATAAAATTAATTTGACTTATCTGAAAATTGCATATCTTGGAGTACAGGACACAAGCCACCCCCTTCATTTTCGGGGTTTACTCTGTATTGATTGCTACAAAAATAAGGATTCATGAAGTGGAGTGAAGTCATAGAGGGGGCGCCCTGGGGAGCAATGTCCTAATTGTTTACCAGTGTCCAATCACCTGAAGATACAGTGGGGAAAAAAAGTATTTAGTCAGCCACCAATTGTGCAAGTTCTCCCACTTAAAAGATGAGAGAGGCCTGTAATTGGCATCATAGGTAGACCTCAACTATGAGAGACAAAATTAGAAAAAAAATCCAGACAATCACATTGGCTGATTTGGAAAGAATTTATTTGCAAATTATGGTGGAAAATAAGTATTTGGTCAATATGAAAAGTTCATCTCAATACTTTGTTATATATCCTTTGTTGGCAATGACAGAGGTCAAACGTTTCCTGTAAGTCTTCACAAGGTTGGCACACACTGTTGCTGGTATGTTGGCCCATTCCTCCATGCAGATCTCCTCTAGAGCAGTGATGTTTTGGGGCTGTCGCTGGGCAACACGGACTTTCAACTCCCTCCAAAGGTTTTCTATGGGGTTGAGATCTGGAGACTTGCTAGGCCACTCCATCGTTGCCCGGCGCGGTATGTTTGGGATCATTGTCATGTTGGAAGACCCAGCCACGTTTCATCTTCAATGCCCTTGCTGATGGAAGGAGGTTTGCACTCAAAATCTCACGATACATGGCCCCATTCATTCTGTCCTGTACATGGATCAGTCGTCCTGGTCCCTTTGTGGAGAAACAGCCCCAAAGCATGATGTTGCCACCCCCATGCTTCACAGTAGGTATGGTGTTCTTTGGATGCAACTCAGCATTCTCTCTCCTCCAAACACGACGAGTTGTGTTTCTACCAAACAGTTATATTTTGGTTTCATCTGACCATATGACATTCTCCCAATCCTCTTCTGGATCATCCAAATGCTCTCTAGCAAACTTCAGACGGGCCCGGACATGTACTGGCTTAAGCAGGGGGACATGTCTGGCACTGCAGGATCTGAGTCCCTGGCGGTGTAGTGTGTTACTGATGGTAGCCTTTGTTACGTTGGTCCCAGCTCTCTGCAGGTCATTCACTAGATCCCCCCATGTGGTCCTGGGATTTTTGCTCACCGTTCTTGCGATCATTTTGACCCCATGGGGTGAGATCTTGTGTGGAGCCCCAGATCGAGGGAGATTATCAGAGGTCTTGTATGTCTTCCATTTTCTAATTATTGCTCCCACAGTTGATTTGTTCACACCAAGCTGCTTGCCTATTGCAGATTCAGTCTTCCCAGCCTGGTGCAGGTCTACAATTTTTGTTTCTGGTGTCCTTCGACAGCTCTTTGGTCTTCACCATAGTGGAGTTTGGAGTGTGACTGTTTGAGGTTGTGGACAGGTGTCTTTTATACTGCTAACAAGTTCAAACAGGTGCCATTGATACAGGTAATGAGTGCAAGACAGAGGAGCCTCTTAAAGAAGAAGGTACAGGTCTGTGAGAGCCAGAAATCTTGCTTGTTTGTAGGTGACCAAATACTTATTTTCCACCATAATTTGCAAATAAATTCTTTCCAAATCAGCCAATGTGATTGTCTGGATTTTTTTTCTAATTTTGTCTCTCATTGTTGAGGTCTACCTATGATGCCAATTACAGGCCTCTCTCATCTTTTTATCTTTTTAAGTGGGAGAACTTGCACAATTGGTGGCTGACTAAATACTTTTTTGCCCCACTGTACGTGCCTATAACTCATGGTGTATGAATATGTTGCCAGTTTCCTGTACTGTACTCCAAGGAAATTAATTTACAGCTTTTTTATTTTCTGAATTACTTTTTTAGTGACCATGGTGTATTATTCCTGTAACTGAAAACAAATAACATGATTTTTTTGTTTTGTTCATAAATTAAATTACTTTCATATTGGGATGATCACATTAAAACTGTGTTCTAGTGCAAGCATAATACTGTATATCTCTATTGCTGGTACTGGAATCTAAAAAAATATTGTCTAATCCCTGGAGGTCCAGTTACGATTTACCTTTCTACCTCTGGTCTATTTTGTGTTACACATTTCTTATTTTTGCCATACTGACTATAGAGGAGTTTACAGGGACAGAAAACTGTATCCTGTCTGCAATCTCTCAGTGGCATGTGCTATGGAGGAAGACAGATCTATTTTCAATACATATTAAATGTTATCTGCGAGAAGTACAGATTTTTAGTTAGAAGCAAGGCCATCTACTTCCTGTGCATTGTAAACTAGTTCCAGCCACATTGCTCACAATGAAGCTGAAAAGGTTTAGCTTCGCTGCTTTGAAACTAGTATGTGGCACAGGAGTCACAAAATGCATGCTGTTTTCAAAATTTCAAACCTTCTTCAGTCGCAGGTACTTACATGACAAATTCCATTTAAGCTTTTTACTGCACTTGGCATACACCATACATCCTACCTGTCTATTTCTGTCCATCTTTTGGTTTTAGATATAGTTTAGTGAACCCAAAACTAATTAGTACTTCTTTGATCAAGGGTCTTGACCTGGAGCCAGATGAGCAGAAGATCAAGAACTCAGCATGAACTCCACGCAGCGGTCAATCCCAGCAGCAGGGATAAGTACTGTAGTTTCCTGCCACTGGGATTTGCAGCATGGCAAAATGCCTGTGTGAATGGGGCCTCAACAGGATGAAGATTTTTAGTGTAAGTCACCTATTTCAGGTTGTGTTTGTGTGCATATATAAATGTTTTATTATTTTGAATCTAGACATATCGCATGCTCTAATAAAGTTTTTTTTTTTTTTTAGTATATACAGTAGCATCAACTAGGATTAATTATGTTTTTTTATAGATAAATTTAGTTGTCAGAGTTGTAGGCAGAGTGGCTGTAATTATTGCTAGGTAAAAGTATAGTTAGCTCACTGTACTGAATTGCTGAGACCCAGGTTCTGCTACGATGACTGAGGGGCTGTATCCTGAAGATCTGGTCTGGTCTGGTATCGTGGAGGAAGGTGTCCAGTTACTCGCCACCAACAAACACACACAAACAGAGACACCTGTACACACACACAGACATGTACATACACACACAGAAACATGCACACACACGCACAGAGACACATGTACACAGACACAGGCACGTACAGACACGCATACACACAGATACATGTACATACACAGAAATACACATGTACATACACACAGACACATGTACATATATACACAGACACATGTACACACAGACACATGTTCGTAAATACACACAAACACACACACACATGTACATGCACACACACACAGACACATGTACTCACACAGACGCATGTACACACACACATACATGTACATACACGTAGACACATGTACAGATACACACATGTACATAGACAGAGACACATGTACAATTGTACATGCATACACAGACACACACAAACACACACACATGTACACGTACACCCCCCCCCCATTAAAGTTGCAGTACTTCGTGGTTCACTCACAGATCCGGGTACTGCACTCTAGGGGGAGGCAGAGAGCACAGCACACACTCCTTCCTTTGCTTTCACTGCGCTCAGCTATTGAGCAGTCTGACGGCTCCCAGTGCCAATGACAGATCCGGCCTGAGCTCCGAGCCTGCTCAGCAAGATGGCCCTGGGGGACACGCTCGCCCCCACCATAATTTCCACTCGCCGTGATATAGTAGATTATAGAAGTCTGAATAAATACAGTCCTGACAATAAATACGTATACTGTATATGTGACATTAAACAGTCATAGTATAGTTTTTTATATACGTGAACCATAATCATTAAAAAGTAGTCACTGAGTGTGACGGGCATGGCGTCAGACCCCAGCCCTTCTCACTAACTGGTGACCGAAGGACTAGCCAATCTAAAACCGCGCTGCCACTTGCGTAACAATGCCACTCTCAGCTGCACCCTGCACAAAGATTTTCCAGCTCGCTGGACCACAATCTAGGTGCCAGCAGCCTGAGAGCGATTGTTACTGGGTCAGGTTAATTACGCAATTAACCCTTCACACTGCCACCACCACCTTTTTACAGAGAAGGAGGAAACTCACAAAGCTTAGCAGTAACACTATGATGTTTGAATAAGCGTCTGTATACACCCTGTCACTGCAGACAGATGTATCCAGAGGTTTTAAAACGCACAGTAGCACTCTTCAGAGACAGGGATTCTTAGTTTGCATTAAAGAGCTTTAGAAACAGTTCAACACTTTTCATAAAATACGATTTATTACTAAAAAGGTCAAAATGGTGCAATAAAAATATTTACAGAAAGGATGTAACCAATATATATATATAAATAGAGCAATAACACAACAGAGAGATAAAGGAAGAAGTTTCAGAAGGTAGGATACCTGCAGAAGTCCTTGGTTTAAGCAGCGTTCAAGTGTCCTGAACAAAAGGGTGTCTTTTTTCCCAAAGTTGGTTCCTGATGTTAAAAGGGAGAATCTCTTCATCTTTTTCCCCAGGCATAACAGCCTTTTTTCTAGGAACCCAGCAGGGTGTCTCCTTAAAGCAGAGAACTAATCGCCTCATTTGGGGAGGGGTGTTTAGGCGGGGACTCAGGCTATGACCAAATCCCTCCCAAGTTTATACCATGGCCAATAACCTTCACTAGGTACATGTAGCAGCCTAGCCACTGGTAGATTAATATTCAGAATGATATCCTGAACGTCCAGACATCAAATATGACATATCTTACCGTTCCAGATAAAGACATATTGCTTTCTACTCTCGTGTAGGTGCCACATAGGGGTGTAAGGTATCAGGTAACTCGTATTAAACTGACCTATCTGAATATATCCTTTGCTTGATTGTTCCTTGTTCCTGTCAGGATTTATGAATTTGTATGAAAAAGTGGTTTCAAGTGGGATGTATGTTTTACTGCCATTCTGGAATGCTTTTCATGTCCAGTGATGGACTGATTTATAGCTTTACGACCAGGCCAAGGCAAGTGTCTAACAGACATCATGGAACCAGCTAATTGGGTTTACGACCATGAAGCGTATCCAGCTGTGCCATGTGCACTCCTGAACTCACACACACAGACCACATTCCTTGCAAGGGGAGGGGACTGGAGGGAGAGAGAATGATATTTGCAGAGTATGATACAAGATGGTGGATCTTAGCAAAATGGTTGTCCGCGTCCATATCTGTGTGCACAATTATCACACTGAGCAAGTGACTTTGCTTAGGTTGAAGGAGGTAACATTTCCTCAATTGTCTCTCTTTCAGGTTAGGTTCACATCTATATGGGTGCTGAAATGTGTGCAAATCACATGCATTCCTGCAGCCTCACACAAAATGCAGTGTTTTAAAGAAAATGCATGGTGCAAAAGCACTATGTAATTTCCGTGTGACCACATTTTAAAAAAAGGCGCAGGAAGCATAGCATCCCATTCAAATGAATGGGCTGCTGGGCCCACACAAATGCAGCATGCAGAATCACATAGATGTGAACTGGCCTTTGTGATCAGACTGCAACATTGTAACTTTGTAGCAGAGTGAGGGGCAGAGTAGCAGAGTGAAAGAGTAAAAAAAACAATAAATGTAATAATAAAGTTTTTTTCATATAGAACTTCTTTTAATAAAACTGTGGTTTACCCAAAAATTCCCTTAGGCTCCATTCACACTTTGCGATTTGGAATCGCAGTCAGAATTTCAGCGATTCTGCCTGCAATTCTAAATGGTGAGGCAATCGCAGTGCACCACACTGAGCACGTTTTGGCGCCATTATCCTTCAATGCAATGCACAGTTACGTGAAAATCTCATTGTCAAAACTGCGTGGCGGGAATGTTCATTCCCGCTACTCAATACCATGCACAGGGCCTAATTTATGTGCTCCATCCTTCAGTTCAGTAAAGCCTCAATGTCAATATTGTCCAGCGATCTTTATCAATATTGTAGCATTCTGACATGCCGATTCATAGCACACTTGCATATTCCATGTCTCTGCAGTGACAGAAGGCCACTTCTGCTGCTTTAAACAACATTAGCTCTGAGGGCCACATACTCCTGGCTATGGACCGACCATAACCTGTATGTCTTAGAAGCTAAGATGTGCACAGCTCCCAGTTAGATCTGCTGAAAAATCAAGTTAAGCACAGTAATCCAGCATACTTTATTAAACTCTACAAAATATAAAAGGTAGTCTCAAGTATACAGTTCTACTCTTAAGGCTGTGCTGTGTAACACAAGTCTGTGTTATCCAAGTGCAAAATCCAAATGCACACGTTCCTGCGTTAAAAATGGATTTGTGTATAAGTGGGTGCTGCAGCAACCGTCATCTAGAACCAAACAAAATCAGCAAGGAAAAATGTCACCAGCACACCGAGGATCACCAATATGGGTCCAAAGGTTTTAATGAACGATCACATAGTTACAGCAAGGCAACGTTTCGGAGTCTTGCAGGCAGGGGTGGACTGACCATTTGGAAACTCGGGCCCGGGGTCAGTAGGGGGCCCCATGAGATGCCCCTGGTACCTTTTTCATAGGCTTTTTTGAGTTTGGGCAAGGACACAGGGGCCCCATGATCCCCTATTGCCCGGGGGCCCCATGAGTTGTCAGTCCACCCCTGCTCGCAGGACCCCTTCATCAGGCATGCGACAAATTGTGATAGAAACTGGAGAACTATTTAAGAAAACCATCCACCAATCAGAGTGAAGTGAAATGAGCTTGGCGCCGCCCCATGATGTCATGTTCCCTCCAAAAATGCATTCAAATCAATGTAAACAGAAACATTACAAACTGCGAAAATAAATAAAACAATCAGATGTAATAAAGTGTCAGCTGAAAGCAGTGCTGGTTTCTGGAAACAATGACCAGCAGCATATATGTCCCTGACAGAAGATAAAGACTATTGCCTAGAGATGTGGGGGGGTTGTCTCCAATTGCCAAGTGAGCTGCAATGGGGACACATCTACAGTGGTCCTATTAGTGCAGCGGCCGACAGTTTCATAGCGACGCATGTCATCTGCATGCACCATGAGAGTTTACTACTCACGCATGCGCTTAAAGACATTCCTGCAGCAGTCGCCATCATCATTGAAACCCATATGTCGGCGCCGGTAAGGACAAGGCGGAGGCAAGTCGCCGGCGTCATAGAAACACATGGCGCCGACGCCACACAAGCCAATGGGTGGGCAGGGTTGCAGAGATGAGCTGTGAAGAAAAAAGAAGAACAAAAAGGAAACAGATTGAGGGCTAGTTCACACCACATGCGTTTCAGTTACTATTCATCTGCATCCAAAGATAAAGTAGTATACTGTTCATGGTTGTCAATGTCATAGTTCACATCAGTGCTCGCAGTTCCAGTGCGCTCCAGCTGCAGATAAAAGCAGAACACGCCACATCTCACTCGTACAGAGCTGCACTGGAATGCGGAAAAACGCATCAAAACGCACCGGAGCGCACCAAAAATGTACAATAGCACACATGTCCCCATCTAAATTGAAAAAAGAGAGGGGAAAAAAAACGGACTACAATCCATAAAAAATGCTTTGGAATGCATAAAAAACGCACCAGATGTGCCAAAAACCGTGTCAAAATGCACAGGCAAAAATACATCCGGAACGCATCTCAACTACGTCTTCATAGTGCGAACCAGCCCTGAGAATTATGATAATCAGTCCATGAATGGAGCTGGGGAGAAGTGAAAGAAAAGGGAGTGATAAAAATGGAAAAGAGGCTAGAAACGGAAAAAAAGGAATGTGTAGGGGTGGCACAGCTCACCAGCTTGCAGAGAGAAAGAGAGAGACCACTGTGAATAGTGCGAATGTGAAAAATCTAAACCAAAAGTTATATACAAAACTTTATACTTCAATCATGAGGAATCATCATAACCAAAGTTCATCTGCAATCCAAAAAGCACGAATATGATATGTTAATACTAAGTCCCCTTGGTTGTGTTGTATCGAGGTTATGGCCACAAAAACTCTCCAATTAGCTGCAGCCAGTTTGTGTGTAGCAAAAATTCCAAAGAAACACTGACCCAGCCCATATGGAAGAAAAATATATTTGAAATATATTAAAAAATATTCTTCCCAAATATATTGACATATATTTGAAATGCTACAATTTTGGCCATATTCAATATATTTAAAAATATATATAAACACTGTATGTTGAAATGCATTTTTATTCCAAAATATATGAAAAATATTTTTAAAAATACATTTCAAATATACTGTATGTCTTTAAAAATACAAATCTACATTTTTGGAATACCTTTACAAATATATGTCAAAATATATGTTAAAAGAAATCTGAAGAATATATTTAAAAAATATATATTTTTAAAAAAATATATATTTTTTAAATATATTCTTCAGATTTTTTTTAACATATAAAAAAGTAATTTTAACATATATTTTTACATATATTTGTAAATGCATCCCAAAAATGTAGATTTGTATTCTTAACCCCTTCCCGCCGATGCCTCCCGGCCCTTTAAGAGATTCAGATGCCGGGAGGCGGGGCGGTTGGGGCGTGGCTTAGGAATCATGTGACCGCCGTGATGACGCGTCACGGCGGTCACATGATCGGGAAAGGTCCCGTTCGAAAGAGCGGAACGGGACCTTTCCGTGCGTACCACACATGTGTGCTGGGAGCGCGCAGGGCGCGCGCTCTCAGCACATATGTATTTAGTTACATGGACGCAAATGTGCGGCCGCTCGGCGTCTAGGCCCAGATGC